TGGGCCGTGCCAGGTGCGGGGTCTGCTGGCTGGGTGCTGGCAGGCTTGCACCTGGCATGGGCACCGTAGCCAGCCCGTTCCCCTTTAAGGGCTCCGGGGCCAGGAGGGGGGCAGTAGAGTTTCCCTGGTGTTGGCCAGAGTGGCCACCAGGGAAAGCTGGGGAGGGCTAGCCTCCCACTAGTTCGAATTAAGGGGCTACACACCCCTTAATTCGAACTAGTAAGTTCGAACTAGGCTTAATCCTCGTGGAATGAGGTTTACCTAGTTCAAACTAAGCGCTCCGTTAGTTCGAATTAAGTTCGAACTAACGGAGCGCTAGTGTAGTGCCTATGAAAGTTAGTTTGAACTAACGTCCGTTAGTTCGAACTAACTTTGTAGTGTAGACATACCCTAAGGGAGCTTCTTAATGTCTATGGAGTCATAAATTCTGAGACACCTAGAAAATTCCATGTTAAATGTTGATAATTGAAGGGCAACAAGGAATTCCCCACATGCTGGGGAATATCTCAGAATGCAATAAACACAGGTTTGCCCAATGGCTTTATATTCTTTCCCAGGAAAACAAAAAAATCAAGGACTTTGGGTGATTGTCTGAATAGATCATCCAGGTTTGGGTTTCTTAATAGATGAGGAGGGGTTGTGTGTGTGTGTGTGTGTGTGTGTGTGTGTGAGTGTGTGTATCTGTGCATGTGAGCACACACACGTGTGTGTGCGCCAAATATCTGGATAAAATAAGAACCAACTGGCGTCTCTGCCCAACCCCCGATTTTGGGAGGAGAGGGAATCTTAAATTAACTTGCTCTGATTTGTGCTCCCTGGTTTCAGATCAGATAGGAAACACATACGCAGACTCACCAGGAGAGGCTGACCCCAGTAATCCCCTGCAGTCCTGCCTTGAGCCTCTCTGGACACTGGTACCCCTGCTCATTCAGAGACGTTGTGTGATCTGAGCACAACAACCAACCAGACCGGAACCACCATGCCTCTGAGGCTGTCCAGACGCGAGCTTGTGTGTGTCTCTTGACTGCCCCACGGGCCACATCTCTGCCCCTTTCTCGCAGCATAGCCACATGTCCTCCATGTGCCGCCCCAACAGCTTGGGCAAAATAGCCACCTGGCCAGCTCTGAACTGCCTCTCCATGGGGCACAAGGGCACAGTTGCTATTCTTCTCTGAGGTCCTAGCTGCAGCTGCCTAAACATGGCTGATGTTAGGCACTCACAGTCTGTCTGGCCTGCCATGAGAAACACCCGGTCACCCATTTCTCCAGCCCTTCCCTATTAACAGTGTCTTCAACAAACTAAGGCATGTTGAAAGCAACTTTGCCTGGGTGTCTCCCCACCAGTGACTGACAATGGTTAGATCTGGCCTTTAGATAGCTCCTGAGTCTCAGGGCTTGACAGACAGGTTCTGCTGTAACAATGCCATTTTCACAGGCAGGGGAAGGGAACATGGGAGGAGCAGCTGTTGTTTGCATCTTAGAGCCTGTAAGAAAAGAATCTGTGGGGTGGCTAAGACAGCGGAGAGCAGGGAAGGGATGTGAAGGGCATTGTTTAACTACTAGTGTCATTCTAACTCCCTTGTCCGAGCCCGTCTGCCTGTCAGGGGGCGGGGTGGATATCCAATGAACAGGCTAAAAATATGAAGCCAAAACAACTGGTTCTGAAGGCATGCAGCCTTGTGAGTCAATGACTCCTTGCGCTAGTGGGACCCAGATGAGATGTAGCATGTCTAGCTGGGAGGCAGCTTCATCATCCCTCTCCTTCAGAAGCCTCTGCTACCATGTTGAGTTAGCTCCAAATCTCAGATAAGATCAATTCCCTTTACCTCCAGGACAAATACAGTATAGCAACAGTGGCCGACTGGGGAAAGTGCAGCCATCTCTGGGGTGAAACGTAGCAACTATTCAACAGCCCACTCTTGGGCAGCCCCAGCCCAGGAGCACCAGGAGAGCAGGCACTCGGGGGCAACAACACTCCGCCCCAGTACGCGTAGAGTAGGCGTTCTGGGGCAGACGGTGGGCGGGGCCAGGCTGGCGGTTTGGGAAGGCAATGCTTTCCCCTGCCTAGGATACCCACCGCCCATGAGCCCACTGCAAAGCTAGCTGAGAATGAATGAAAGGCAGAGGGACTGCAGCATGCTGGAATTAGAGCTGTAATGGGTGTACGGCACAACTGGGTAGATCAGTAAGAGGGTGTGAAGGATGGGGTGGCATTGTCGCATTCATGGTTGTGAGGCTCAGCACTGCACAGCGTTTGGTGAGATCTGCCTTAACCTGGCTGAACCAGACCAAGCCCCTGCAGCCTCAGGAAGAGGGAGGCCCAAGATGCCTCTTACTCCAGGCACCTGTGCAGGGCTGCGTCTGGCCCATTGGTTCTTTGGAAGCAGGCCTGTGTGGGTGTGTCGGGGTGGCATTGTCGCATTCATGGTTGTGAGGCTCAGCACTGCACAGCGTTTGGTGAGATCTGCCTTAACCTGGCTGAACCAGACCAAGCCCCTGCAGCCTCAGGAAGAGGGAGGCCCAAGATGCCTCTTACTCCAGGCACCTGTGCAGGGCTGCGTCTGGCCCATTGGTTCTTTGGAAGCAGGCCTGTGTGGGTGTGTCCCTTGGTGAGATCTGCCTTAACCTGGCTGAACCAGACCAAGCCCCTGCAGCCTCAGGAAGAGGGAGGCCCAAGATGCCTCTTACTCCAGGCACCTGTGCAGGGCTGCGTCTGGCCCATTGGTTCTTTGGAAGCAGGCCTGTGTGGTTATGTCCCTTCTCTGCAGCGGTGTCTGTTCGCGGTCCTGCAGCCCAGCTGGTGACCTAATCCCTGCTGTGCTTACTGGGCCAGGCTCCACTGTCCCCGGCAGCCAAGCACTGACTTCCACAACTCCAAAATAGGACCACAAGATGGGGCCTATCAGGCCAGTGATCCCAGGCAAGTGGAAGGGAGTGAATCTTCTTCTTTCAGGGAGACCAGAGACAGTAGTAGCTGGAGACCGGGGTCCCTTATAGCCACCAGGCAGCCTCTCAACAAGGAACCAACTGAGAAAGGCCCTGCACATGCCCCCTCCCCCCGACAAAGAGTTGGCCCATCCCATCCTGCTGGTGCGACTCACGGGAGAGCATCTGTTCTGGCACGGTGGCAGCTCACACCACCTGGCCATAGTGACCCTTGAGCAGACCGGGATCAGGTGGTGTGGTTACTGTGCTGTGACAGCTGTCACATTCCACCCCAGAGAAAGCTCCATGTGTGTGGTGGGTGCTGCAAATCCCAACATCTCTTGGATCAGTGAAGCACTCTGGGAATCTTCCAGGGTGGAAGGCGCCATCCCAGAAGCAGACCTGAGTGAGTAGACGGATGTATCTCACGGCACACGGAGCTCACCCCAAGCTCTATAATAAGACAAAACAAAACCCTCCATCTAAATACCCCTGGGCGCGGGGAAAAGGGGCGGGATGAAGTTCAAATCCTGGTTCGGATCTGACATTCACAGCACAGACTTTTTTGACCTGCAGGCCAGATATTCAGTGGCTATAAATCAGCACAGCTCCGAGAGCTGGCTCTGTGTGTGTGGATAGACAGACCCCCAGGGTGACCGCAAAATAGCGCTTCTCACAGGCTTACTGTGCCCTCCCCTCAACCCACTGACAAAGGCATGTGCCGCTCATTCTGCACAAGCTGCACAGCACTTTTTTTTGTCCACTTCTTAAAAGTGGCAGGGACACCACCAGCTGGCATTTCTCTAACCTTGAAACCTTCTGTGTCTCACATGTCACAAAGTGACAACAAGCTGTTATTCAAGATGAGAGCGAGACAAAGACAGAGAGACAACAGAGCCGGGGGCGTCCGAGGTGGCAGTTAACTTACCTATTACAGCCAAAAGTGGGCATGCGTTTATTTTTAAACTGCACCAGGCCGTATTTATTGTTTCAGCACAGAGCGGCCTGGGGGATTGTCTTTTGAATTCCTCTTGCAGGAACATCAGGGGCCGTGCAAAGCATCTCCGGTGATGGTGAGTAACGAGAGCGGGCAACTGCAAGAATGACCACGAGATGAGATAGCAGTGGGAGTCTTTACTAGGAACATCTCTAGCGACCAGTGAGATATAGACATGCAACTTGTACAGCTCCTGAAACAAAATAAGCCTCCTAGGAGCATTTAATACACTGGTATTATCTGCAAATAGCAGCAGATAAGTGGAGGTTGTTTTCTTATAGGTTAACTGCTGCCTTGTCTTCAAATCAATAACCAAACCGAGCATGTAAATTGAAACTGAGCAGTTTTTAGGGTCAAACTGGAATTCTTTCTCCTCATCCATGCACTATCTGGGAGGCACATTTCTATGTCTTGAACTGGTCCATTTAAATCTTGTTTTATTTATTAGTAGTATTCTTGTAACTCCTAGCAGTACCAGTCATGGACACCCTCCTTGGGATCTCTTACAAATCAGTGATTTTTATTTAACAGGGAAAGAACATAGCAGATCCCATGAGTGCACCTAAGGCAGAAATGTTCGGATGTTCTCAATGAAGTAGAAATGTTAGCCTGGGTGTTATAACCTTTTCTATTTAAACCACAAGAATTGGAATCAACTAAACTCTGGATTTCGTCTTCCTTGATGCCAGAAAGAGCAGATTTAAGACTACTTTATTATGTAGCCTTTGTAGTGACAAAAAGTACATATCCGTGATAACGCTCATAATAGCTACAACCATTGCATGAAATCCCAGAGATATAGTTAGCTATCTTTTCCACTCCCGGGGGTCCTGAATTATATTGTTACCCGGAGAGATTTCTTTACTGTTCCTTCTCAGCCAAATGTCATTTGAACCGTGACAGACGTCACACTGTGGCATGGAGAGTCATTTTTCATGTTGCTTTCCCCTTATTCAATTTGTTGAAATGCATCCGGAGCCCAAGACACTGAGGTCTGCTGGGGAGAAGAAATAATAACTTCCATCAGTACAGAACAGTATGTACTTCACCCCACACTTCTGAATGGAAAGGCAGATGATCATTTCAAGAATTAAAGTGCACCAGCAGGCAGCAGCCCCTAGCTATTCATAAAGACTGAGGAATAAATTCAGGGGAGTTTAAATTTATTCCACCTTGAAAAATACAGTGAGTTAATGATCATGTACTTGAATTCCCTAAGTCACCCAAGAAAGCTAAGAAGAGAGCAGAGGGAGCTAATTCCAATGTCTTCTCTATGTTCGAACAAGCACAGATCCAGGAATTCAAAGAGGTAAGAGGCTTTTGTTCAAATAAGCATGAAAGGGTAAAGCTAAAAACAACCAATGTCAACTTTTTCCCAAATGCTTTTCAGTTTGGTGAGGTTGGATTAGGAATAAAGAGACCCAAAAGCTCATTTAAATGACAACTGCTTTATTTAAAAAAAAACAAAACCTTAATTCAACTACATAATCAAATATGGGGTCTTCTCTGAACTTCCTGGGCCCTGTATCTCTCAGCAGAAGAGAGAGTGACAAGACACTCAGCCAATGGCACACAACACAGAAACACTGTAGAATCTGAGCTAATTTTCATTGGCTGAGCTATGGCCATGAGTCAGGGCATTATTATTGAGAACGGATTAACTCTTTCACAGTCATGTGCAGGTCTTAAAAGGTACCCACTGAGTCTATGGAGATCATGTTGCAGCCTCTCCATGTTTTGGCTGAGGACAAGGCAGTGGCCAAAAAGAACTGCATGCGGGGGAACCACCACACACACACATACACACATTCTCTCTCTCTCGCTCGCTCTCTCTCTCACTGGGGATGCAAATACTCTACGCCTTGGCTGCAAGCAGAGTGGTTAGACAGCTCCAGACGCAACTGGAGAATAGCTACGTCTCCCTCCCCAGCTCACACCCCTGATCCCTACAGAAGGAATTCTCCTACCTCTAGTAATCCCTTAGGCTATGTCTACACTGCAGGAAAAAGTAGGAAAAAGACACGCAAACTGCAATTTGCGTATCTTTTTCCACTTTGCTTCCAAAAGAGGCTTTTCTGACATTTGGCCCATCTACATGGGGCCATATGTCTTGAAAAAAACCCTCTTTCAGAACATCCATTCTTTCACATAGAACGAGGTTTACAGGGATGCCAAAAAAATGCGTCTGCTTTTCCAAAAAATTTTCTGAAAAGCAGATACGTTCCTTGGATGCGCCATAGGTTTTCTGGGATACCTTCGGTGTCCTGGAAAAGCTCTGCCGTGTAGACATAGCCTTAGATAATCCTGCTCTCTGGGCAGGGAGATTTGGTCTCTTCTGGCTGGTTTGTTGCAATGCCCATCAGTCAGCCCTGGTCTACACAAGGGAGTTATTTTTAAATAACCCCCTTATTTCGAAATCATAAGCAGAACATTGACACTTCAAAGCCCATTATTTTGAAATAGCTGGGCTGGTTATTTTGAAATCTGTACTCCTACTTTCCTCGGGGAATAATGATTATTTAGAAATATCAATAGTATAGATGCTCCGGTGATGCTATTTTAAAATAACTACTCCTCTGAGTCATTCAAAGTGCTTCCTGGGGCCAGGCTAGTAGATTTTGTGTGCTGCAGCCCTACAGTACGGTGGCGGGTGCTGGGAGGGCTGGAGCGCCAGTGTAGGCTTCCCAATGTTGGGGGTTGAGTCTTGGGGGCCAATCCAGACAATTTATGGGTTGCATTCAGCCCCTGGGCCTGAGGTTCCCCACCCCTGTAAGTGCAGCGCATGTTCATTCTCTCTTTCTCTTTGCGAGGGATCTAAGTACCACTAGGTAGGACTGTAAGCCACAGCCAGCAGGTGTGTGGGTTACACTCAGGTTACAGTCACATTCTAATGTGACTAATGTCATTCTCATGAGCAGAGCTGTCAGCTGGGCTCCCAGGATGTTAGCAAATGATCCCATTTGGTGTGTAGGCTAGGAGGCAATCCCCTCTGTGGGCCGCTGAGTAATAATGCCTCCGCCAGCATCACACAGCCGCTGCCAAAGGGGATCAGAGAGGAACTTCCAGCACTGCTCCGTCAAGCAGCCTAACACACGTTGCCATACTGCCGAACAGAGCTCTTTGGGCGCTATCCTGAACCTGTCTGGAAATCCTCGTCTCCGCTCCCACTGCGGGAGGAAGCTACAAGCACAGCTGTGAACAAACACAATTTAAGCCATAGCTTATGCCACTGGACACATCCCAATTACTAGCCAGGCTACAATGGACAGGACAGGGCAATGCTGAATTAGTTTTCTGTATGACGCCATTCATCTTGCTCCCCATCCAGGCATTCACCATCATGGATCAGAACCGGGACGGCTTTATTGACAAGGCAGATTTGAGAGATACGTTTGCAGCAGTGGGTAAGCCTGCATCTAAGAACTCTCACACCAAACACACCAAAAAAGGTTTTGATCATGTTTGACTAATTGTTCGATGCTTTCCATTTCATTCACTAGTTAATTCCATCTTCCATTTGACTGTGCTCAAAACCCCTGGAACCAAAATGGTTTAGATTGCAAAGAGCAGAATGTTTTATCTTCTTAATATTTTTGATCAGTGTGGGTCATTTTTAGACCCTGCCTAGAGAGAATGGTTATTATATTAAATTAGGGACCATCCTTATGCCTTGCTCTGTGAGTAGTCTTGCTGGATTATATGACGTATGACAATTGGGAACATTCTTCCTGGTTATCACCTTGCCAATCAGGTGTGACTGCATTGAAATTCAAGCAGATCAGCCCTGGACTTGTAGCTGTATGAATGATAATATGCAGACACTTGGTTCTGTTCATTTTGCTGACAAAATCCATGTGGGAACTAAATCAGCAAGTATCATGGTGCAGTTTTATGATATTCTCTAGAATCCTAGAAATTAGAGTTGGAAATAAATATCTAAAGGGTTAACTGGTTACCCAGTAAGCATCAGCCTTACTGGTATACTTACCGGCTGTGTCTAGACTGGCAAGTTTTTCCGGAAAATCATCTGCTTTTGCGGAAAAACTTGCCAGCTGTCTACCCTGGCCGCTTGAATTTCCGGAAAAGCACTGACGATATACTATGCTGCTCCCGTTTGGGCAAAAGTCTTTTTCCAAAAGACTTTTGTGCAAAAGGGCCAGTGCAGACAGCAGAGATTTCTTTTCCGCAAAAAAGCCCCGATTGCAAAAATGGCGATTGGGGCTTTTTTGCGGAAAAGCACGTCTAGATTGGCCACGGATGCTTTTCTGCAAAAAGTGCTGTTGCGGAAAAGCGACTGGTTACATGGTAAGCATCAGCCTTATGGCATGCTTACCCTGTAACTGGTTAACTGGGGGCTTTGCCCAGCTGGAACAGCCCCGCCTGCAGTGCAGAAAGTCCTGCCCGAAAGAATCAGCCCCCGCTCCCAGTGTGGTGGGCTAGGCCTGGCCTGTCTTATCGCACTGTGGGGAGATGTTGCTTTTGCCCAGCTGGACCTGCTGCGAAATACTGGGGGCAGAGGGCTGCTCCAGGGTTAACTGGTTAAACAACCACAAATTTACATCCCTAGTTGGAAAAGACCCTTTGGATCATACAGCTCAGTGCAGGATCCTTCTCTAGTGTTTCTAGTGTTTTGTCTGGTCCAATTTTATCGCTCTCAAAAGATGGAACCTCTACCACTTCCCTTCAAGACTCTTCCCATGGTAAAAATGAACATTTTCTATGTTTTTTAACTTATCCATAGGCTGGTTTGTGTATAAAATGGTACTCTGATAGCTGCATCAAATTAAATCCACAACCCAGGTGATTTGTCTGTTTTTTATCTAGGTCGTTTGAATGTCAAGAATGAAGAACTTGATGAAATGATAAAGGAGGCTCCTGGACCAATTAACTTTACTGTATTCCTGAGCATGTTTGGCGAGAAGCTCAAGGGTGAGATAAGATAGGGGGATAAAATGAATGGGAGGATAGTTTGGTGGCAGAGACCTGAGGTGTGACACCAGCTTCCTTTGTGACTTGGGCAAGTCACTTAACCTCTCTGTACAGCAGTTGCCCAACTGTAAAACAGGGATAATGACTCTGCCCTGCATCATAAGGGGTGCTAAGACTTAGCGCTTTGAAATCCTCCAAGTGAAGATGCTAGCAAAGAGCAAAGTATATTAAAAGCCACTTTATTTGCAGTTTCTGTCCAAGGACTGATACTGCACTCAATGGACGCCTTTGCCTGCACTTTTAAGGAGGCTTTAGCTCAGGACCTAGGACTCAAATCACTCTCTTTCTCCAGAAAAGTTCAGAAGGTGAAAACATCCCATTGTCATTGCCTGGGGCTTCTTCTGCATCCTTCCCCCAGCATGGTGGGGCATGAAATGGCAAAGGCAGGCCATTAAGGTGTTGCCAATCACAGACTCATACACTGGATATTCCCAGCAATTGGGCATCTTGCTCTAACACGCTGAGCAATTTCTCCTCTTACTCCTCAGCCTCCCCTATGCTACTTGCTGCTATTGGCCTTTTGGCAGCAGCTGGAGCCTGTGGATAGAGCACGGGGCTGTCACTCAGACATCCTGAGCACTACTCTCCATTCTCCCCGTAGCCTCTCGAGTGGCTGTGAGCAAGTTGCACCACTTCTCTGTGCCTCAGTTCCCCCTCTGTGAAATGGAGCTAGCAATGCTTGTGAAGTGCTCTTTCACACCTGTTCTCACCACTCTGAGGGGTTCGGTGCTATGCTCCAGCCATTCTGACGTGAACGCCTGTGGCTGTTTGCTGCCCACATTCTGGTGGCCTGTCAGGAGAGGATTATTGCGGAGGGCAGGCACTTCTCGCTGACTCTAAACCCCTCCCCTCCCCATGCCCCTGCCATACCCCCTCAGCCATTGTGCAACCTGAGCTCTGTGACACTGGTGCAGAATTCCCCCAATCCTATGAGGCTGATGTGCTATAAATACACTGAGTATATTAACTACATGTTGGAGATAGGGAGGGGCAGAATGAATGTATATCTGCTCCACTCTATGCCATGGAATATGAAATGGCAGTCCAGACAGCATGTGTATGTGGGGGGGAGATATGTCAGCCATTGTTGTATACCACAGGGTGTTGGCAGGATAGGACACTCGGACCTGAAAACCCCTCCATGCAGGTGTAAAGCCAATAGACCCTAGTCACCAGCAGGTGGGATTGAACCTGCGGCCTTAGGGGCTAAAGCCATGTCCCTCTACTACAGTGCTCACCAACCAGTAGATCAGGACCTACTGGTAGAACTTGGAACCTTTGACAGGTGATCCTGATGGTTTGGAAGGGGAGGCTGTCAAATGCCAGCACTTCATCTGCCCCTCTCAGCACTACCATGCTGCTCCTGCCCTTTGCCTTGGAGGTGCCCCTCACCCCTGGGAGCCTCCTGCTTGCTGTGCAGGGCACGGGAAGAAGAGGAAGGGGGGTGCTGATGTCAGGGTGCTCCTCCTTCCTCCCTGCCCCTCATCTCCACTGGGCAGAGGAGGGCAGGGATGGAGAGAGTTTGCTGGCTGCTTTTGAGAGTGGTACAGGGCCAGGGTAGGACTGCGCTTGCCTTAGCCCCCTGAATCACCACCCAGAAGCCACCTCTGGTAAGCAGTTCCCAGCTGGAGCCAGCATTCCAAATCCCAGACTCAGTCCTGAACCTCTCCTGCATCCTCCACCCTTACTCTGAGGAAAGTGAGTGAGGGTGGGGGAGGGAGGGAGGACAGAGTGAGCAGGGGCGGGAACTCGGAGAAGGGGCAGGAAGGAGGCGGGGCAAGGGTGTTTGAGTTTGAGGTAGATCCTGGATTGCACTTAAATTCAAAAAGTGATCTCACGCTTCAAAAGGTTGGAGATCCCTGCTCTACCGCAGGAGTTAAACCCCACCTGGCCCTAAGCTAAGGCTGCAGACTAAATGTTTCCTCCCCTGCCCCTCCTCCCAGAGGTCTCAGTGCCTCTGGGTTCCACAGGGAATGAGCTTTCTCAGCCACACAGCCTGTCCCCTGTGGGAGGTCACCAGATCTGTGATTTCCCCTCCCCAAAGTGCATGCCACTCTCTGGCGCTGTCTGTTATGGGGACAATACCTGCTCTGTCCCACCAGTGGTTGTGTGTGCCCCCCTGCAGGTGCCGATCCAGAGGAGACGATCCTGAATGCGTTCAAGGTGTTTGACCCCGAAGGCAAAGGCCTGAAATCTGACTAGTAAGTGCAGAGCAGTGTGTGGGGTGTGCAGAGGGAAGGGGGCAGCTGTTCTGGCTTCCTCACTGTCCCTCCCTCATTCTTACCCCATACTCTTTCTTTTGCAGTATTAAAGAAATGCTGATGACGCAGGGAGAGCGGTTTTCCCAGGAAGAGGTAAGCATAGGGCTCCTTTTCACCTCTATCCTCGTACAGAGTGCACCATTCAGTAATGCCTAGCACTGAGCTGTTTAGTTTGCATGCAGGGACAGCAGGCTCTAGCTGCAACGGGTCAGCTTTCCTTTCTAGCGTCGGGCACAGTCCTTACCTCAGTTTCCCTGTTATGACTCTTTTTCCACATGCAGCCTCCCTTTTGTGGAAGGGTAATCTAGTGCTTCAGGCAAAGGAACAAAGCAAGAATCCCCCTCCCATATTTCCACTGACAGTCACTCAGGTTACCAACATAAGGGCAAGAACAAAATGCAGGACAATGTAGCACTTTAAAGACTAACAAGATGGTTTATTAGATGATGAGCTTTTGAGGGCCAGACCCACTTCCTCAGATCAAATAGTGGAAGAAAATAGTCACAGCCATATATACCAAAGGATACAATTTAAAAAAAGTGAACACATATGAAAAGGACAAATCACATTTCAGAACAGAAGGGGGATGCGGGGGAGGGGGGAAGGAAGGTAAATGTCTGTGAGCTAATGGTATTAGAGATGATAATTGGGGAAGCTATCTTGGTAATGGGTAAGGTAGTTGGTGTCTTTGTTGAGGCCCCCGCGAAGAGTGTCGAATTTTAGCATGAATGCCAGTTCAGAGGATTCCCTTTCAAGTGCAGATTTGAAAGTCTTCTGGAGTAGGATGCAGGTATTTAGGTCGTTGAGACAGTGTCCTTTCTGGTTGAAATGGCAAGAAACTGTTTTTTCTTTGTGATCTTGTCTGATATCTGTTTTGTGGGCATTAATCCTTTGGCGAAGTGTCTGAGATGTAAATCTGCACTTGAAAGGGAATCCTCTGAACTGTCATTCATGCTAAAATTCAACACTCTACGTGGGGGGCTCAACAAAGACTCTAGCTATCTTACCCATTACAAAGATAGCTTCCCCAATTATCACCTCTAATACCATTAGCTCACAGACATTTACCTCCCCCCCACATCCCCTTCTGTTCTGAAATTTGATTTGTCCTTTTCATATGTGTTCATTTTTTTTAATTGTATCCTTTGGTATATATGGTTGTGACTATTTTCTTCCACTATTTGATCTGAGGAAGTGGGTCTGGCCCACGAAAGCTCATCATCTAATAAACCATCTTGTTAGTCTTTAAAGTGCAACATTGTCCTGCATTTTGCTTCAGCTACACCAGACTAACATAGCTACATTTCTATCACTATTCAACATAAGGGCAGGCAGCCACAAATGGCAGGGGCTAGAAAGTCTCCTTGTCCCAGCCAAGGGCAGGACTTCCAGTGATTTCCAATGGCCCTTACCCCCCTCCGTCGGAGCTGCAGACCCAAATATCCTGCCATTCTGCTAAACCTTTCCCTTCTGGGCCCATTTATCTCACAGATCGACCAGATGTTTGCAGCTTTCCCTCCAGACATCACAGGGATCTTAGACTACAAAAACCTCGTCCACATCATCACACACGGAGAAGAGAAGGATTAAGAGCTGGCATGATGCTAATTCCTCAGACACAGTGGTGGGGGTGGTACTTTGTGATGCGTTCTCTGCTCCTGCCCACACAAGCTGGGTTTGGTCTGTTCACCATGTGATCGTTTGTACTTGGTCCCATTCTTGTCTGTTTTTCTATGCAGGAAATTCTCACTGTAACTGGGGAAATGCACACCTGAATTGTGTCCAAATTAAATTATACATTTTGCAGAAGGAAATCCAGCTGCCTACATCAATACTGGTAGGGCTCGTTGTTCCCTATAAGCTGAGCACTTGGGCAGCCATCCAGGAGAGATTCAAATGCTGCCCAGCTAATTAACAGAGTGCCCATAGCCAGCAGCATGTGTGTCTACTAGTGGTGCACATCCCTACATGCTTTGGTGCATATAACAAAATTTATTCTGCGCAAGGATTGAAAAAAAATTAGAGGGAACACTGACAGGGTCTGAAAAATAAATGTTCTGGAGCAAACACAATTCTGCAACACTCCAAGAGCTCATGATACTATATATATATATATAGAGAGAGAGAGAGAGAGAGAGATAGTTAGTTAGTTAGTTAAAGAGAGAGAGAGAGAGACTCAAACTGTGGGGTGAGATGAACAAGAATAGTGTTCCTTGTAAGGTGTGTGCTTGTTTGACTGCTCAGCAGAGGTTCCAATGTCACCCATTGGCAGATTAGCAGAGCACCCACAGCTAGGTTTTGTTTCTACTTGTGGTGCATGTTCACACGTGCCTCAGTGCACCAAAAAATGTATTTAACACATGGATGGAAAAAATCTGCACGTGGATGGAAAAGATTAGTGGGAACATTGAAGGTCATCACCAAAAATACCTGCGACTGAATTTCTGCTGATGACACTTGCCTACAGGGACAGTGGCAAAGATTTGTCCGAGATGGGTTGTGCAGCTCGTGCTAGAGTGGCACGGGGTGCTACGTGCCCATGATTGCCGTTTTTAGTTTGCAGAAGCCCAGCAGGGAGGAAATGAGATCAGGCTGCCTGGCTCACTGTCCAACTGCCACTAATCTCCTGATGTATGGCACATTACTGGCATTTGTCAACTTCTCTGACATGGCAGCAAACGCTTCACTTTCTGTCTCTGGGATGGGTATTGTGCAAGGTATGGGGTGCTTCAAAGACAAAATAACTAAGGACTCAGATATGCTTTTGAGAGCAATGTGAAGCTACCTGGACCCTTTCCTAACAGCTGTAACCTTCAGAGCATGAAGACATGCAGCTATTTTATCCTCAGTCTTTCCACCCAGGCCATCTCCTCTGCCTAGCATAGCCTTTTAAACCCACTGGAGCAGGCTCCCTTCATTCACACCCCTCTGGAGGCCCCTTCCTCAGCTTCTGCAAAGCGCCCAACACTGTCCCACATGGATACACCACCATCAGCAGTCGGAGCAAGGAATCTTTCCAAGCTAGCACCACCTCTCTGGATCTCCCAGGCCATCTTGTTAAAGTCTCAACTGTCCTTGGAACAGGGACTGTGAGAGAGATGTTCAAAAGCATCTCATAGGCTTAGGAGCACTCGTCCCAGTCCCACCGATGTCCAATAACATCACTATGCTCCTCAGTCACTTAGGCATTTTTCCAAATTGCCTTTGATTTAGGCTTTCTGTGTGCCACTAGCGCCCAGGGATTCTGATCTTGCCATTGAATCTGGAGTCATTGCTGTGGATGTTGGTGGATTGACGCTGCAGCCAACTCAGCGCAGGAGTTGGCTGAAAAACCTTTATCCTGATTGCCTTTGGAATCCTGTTGAGATCTTGTCACAATGCAAGGCCTGGGGGGAAACTTCAGGGCCATTTATTATAGAGTTTACTTTATCCCAGTGCTCTGGCTTCATTGATCCCAGGGGGAGGCAAACCTTGATTACCATAAATACAATGAGCAGGCCTTTGGCACCTTAGAGACTAATGTATTTCTGCCATTTATATTGGCCAAACTGGACAGTCTCTACAAGAAAGAAATAATGGACATTAATGGATCTCAAAATCACTGTATTATCTCAAACCAATTTCAAAAGCCAGCTTGACAGGGAAACTACAAAACTTAACTTCATTTACAAGTTTGATTCCTACAACAGAAGTCTAAACAAAGACATTGGCTGGATGGCCCATTACATTCCACATCCTAATGACATAAAAAACCAAACAACGGGTACTTAATGTGGGCATTAAGTATTCTTATCAGGTTCATTTACAGGGCTTGACAAACCGCAGTGAAATCCACTTGCCAGCCCTGCACCACGCATGCACCAGACCCACATGCGCACACCGCCGGTGAACGGGGCAACCAGCGGAAATCTACATGCCATGGGCGAGTAGATAAACAGATTTGTCGAGCCCTGTTCATTTAGCATGGACAACTCTAATTGACAATTTTTTACCCCTTTTTTTCTTCTTTTCCCACCCCCAATCTCCTTCTTGTGCAATTTATTTTGAAACTGTTTGGACCCCTTAAATACCAGTCATCTGAAGAAGTGGGTTGTGCCCACGAAAACTCATGATAATATCTATGTGTTTTGTTAGTCTCTAAGGCAGGGATACGCAACACATGGCCTGTGGGCTGCATGCGGCCCACAGCCTGTTTGTTTGCAGCCCGTGATGCGGTTTGGGTTTACAGTGCAGTTTGGGTTTACGGTGTGTGGTTTGGGTTCACAGTGCAGTTTGTTTTAGTAGTTAAATTCTTGGACTGTTGTGAAGCCAAAACAAAAAAGTAGTCAATATAATGGTCTTCTTTTGATATGCGTTTTAGTAGTTAATTTCCTGGACTCTCATTGCTCATTAAAAGGGCTGTCATACGGCCCTTGCCATGTGCTGTGAGTATCGTTGTGGCCCCTGGGGCTTCCAAAGTTGAGTAGCCCTGCTTTAAGGTGTTACAAGACTATTTATTGCTTTTTTAAGTTTTTTCACATTTATTAGGTCACGAGCTTTTGTAGGTAAAACCCATTTCATCAGATGAATTGAGAGAAGAAATTATATACCCTGGATTCTGTAATTTCCACTCCAACTCATCTGATGAAATAGGTTTTACCCATTAAAACTCACGATCTAAGATATGAATCTACACTGCACGCTTATTTTGAAATAGCTATTTCGGAAGAAATACTCTGAAATAGCTTATTTCGAAATAGTATGTCCACACTACAGGGAAGCCTCAAAATTAGTCCAAGGCAGGCTTCCCTAATGTGGATGCGTTATCTTGATTTAGAGCTCCAGGAGGCACTGAGGAGTAATTAGTTTGAATGGCCTTGGGGAAGAGCTATTTTGAGATAGTAGCAGTGGAGCATCCACTCTCCCGCTATTTCAAAATAGCTGTTTCGGAACAGGCATTATTCCTTATGGAATGAGGTTTACAGAAATTGGAATAAGCTGTTATCGTGAATTTATTTTAAAATACAGGCGAACCCTGCACTTATGATCTAATTGGTTCGTGGAGAACCGTCGCAAGTTAAGCCATCGTAAGTCGAACCCTTATTTTCCATGGACGCAATGTTATAAATGGCAGTTCCATCCCTGGAAACCCATTTTATACCCGAAAAATACTAAACTTGATGACAGAAATGGAGGAAAACTAAACTAAATAGTTCAAATAATGCACAAAAATAACTAAAAAGTGAAGACTGATGTGGCAGAGACACGTGCAGTTCAAGCAGCAGCTGCGGACTGGCGAGTCTGACTGACCTTGTGCGTTTCCTGTTTTGGGATGACGCGTGGAGTCTGCATCATACACTGTTGTAAATGCGAGCTGCAGGTGTAAATTGGGGGGTTTTAGGAGCTATCTTGCATGAAAAAAATGGTTGTAAATGCGGGAGAGTCGTAAATCAGGCAGTCATAAGTCGGGGATTGCCTGTAATGGAATTGCTGTGTAGACACTCGAATTGTTATTTCGAAATAACATCCATTATTTCAAAATAACTGTGCTGTGTAGACTCACCCTGAGATGTCACAGGACTGCAAGTTGTATTTAAAGTTACCGAATAACAAAGCTACCCCTCTGAGACATGATTACCATGTGCTTTCCATGTGAGGTGACTATAGCTAGAGGGTAATGGCAGAATGGGAAATCTTCTGACAGTAAGCGATCAATGTTTGTTACAGATTGGAAGATCAGATTGTAGCTAGCTGTCAGATTGCTCAGAAGAACACCTAGTTGCTTTGGTTTTTGAGCTTTCCTATAGTAATAACAACACCACTTAGTTCTTATACAACACTTTGATCTCAAAGTATTTTACAAAAGAGATCAGTATCCAAGTTATCCCCATTTTATGGATAGGGAAACTGAGGCACAGAGCCATGGATGTGAGCTGCCTACGGTCACCCAGCAGGCCTAGGACAGAGCTTGGATGAGAGCCCAGCTTCCAAGTCCTACTGAGATGCTTGATCCACTAGACCACAGTGCCTCTCCTGCTTTCTAGTCCCCCACCCCTCTTATTTCTAATTCTCTAGGATTCTGGCCTGTGTTTGCCTACAGAAGAAATATTTGTTACTTGAAGAAAATCTCACTGAGATGTTAAAATCATGAAAACCAGCTCCTCAGCTGGGTAAATCAGCTCAACTGAATTCAATGGTGCTCTACTGATTTATACAGACCAAGGAGCCAGCCCATTGTACAAAGAGGTGTGTAGTCATGCTCCAAGAGAAGGTTCATCTCTGGTCTGAAACACCTGGAAGGACAGCATCAGCCTTCCGGTTCATTCTGTGGGAACTTTAATCAGCAGCCCATCTGTTCTGTGTAAACATTGAAGATCCAATGGCAACTGGCATAGGCAGAAGAGATTAAAAAAAGTGAGGTCATACCTACCACGGGCCATTAACTGCACCAGAACTTTGTGACACAGAGGATATTAGTCCCAGTGCCATGGCCAAACTGTTATGAACTATTGTTAGACAGCTGCTATCCTGCTTTCCACCTCAGAAGTGGTCGCATTTCATTATATGCATAAAGTTCTTAGGGCTTTGTTTTAAGTCTGTAAAAGGTGTTGATAGCCTGTCAGATGGCAAAGGCTACTTTAAATCAAGACAGTACTCACATTCTTCAAATTTAAATTTAGCTTTGTTTAAATTAAGCACAAAATCAGATTTTGATTTCAAAAGAATTTAGAATCTACTATTTATACCCAATACATTTGCTTTTCCCATTCTATATCATTGTCCCTCTCCTCTTCTCTTTGTCCAGAGAGATCCTACTGGACTTTTCCTTCTCAACGTTCCCAATAATCAGGTTGCGCAAACTGTCATGGTCCAAAGGCCCATCAACTGTTTCAAAAGAAATTGGGATTAGAGTGAAGAGTCTCTCCAGAGCTTCAGTTTACTTGTCACTGTACTTGCTACAAGCCCACAAATTCCAATAACAGCATCAGAAAGCTGCTAATATCATCCCCATTAATAACAAACAAATCCAGGGGCCCATGGAGTTTTACCCATTTATGTCAGTGTTAAACACAGGCCCTGCTCTGATACTACATTTCATTCCCACGGCCAGCAGAGTGTAACATTTCTAAGTCCCCAGACTGTCAGAAATTTGCCCACTCTAATAGATTGATATGAAGTGATAGTGATATGAATCCAGGTTCGGCACTAGGGGTGTTAACTATAGGTTATCTTACTAGTCGAATAGTCGATGGAATTTCCACCGCCTTGGCATTTCAAAGGGACAGCGCTGCACAGTTGATCTTAGGCTCAGCTGTGCAGCACTGCTCCTTTGAAGTACCTCTTCTTCTCCCCCCCTTTGCTGCTTCTATCTGATAGAGGCAGCAAGAGGAAGGGGGGAGAAATCGATTAGTTGACTGGCTATCCGATAAGCACTTGCTTATCAGATAGTCGACTAGTCCTTAACATCTCTGTTAGGCACTGGATGCTTACATCTACTAGGGACTACACCAGGAACTCTAGGCATAGGACAATTCCCAGCATTGGCCCCATCATAGGAACAATGGGCCTGATTCTGTGATTCCACTCCTGCATTAGGGGCAGCAGCAGAGGTGATTTTTAGCCACCTTTGCTTCCCTATATTTTGGGGATATAAAGGATCCTATTTTATCCCTGATTCAATTTAGAGCAGCCCCAGGGCTGCTCCTAGGCTTCATTCCCCTGCCCACTTTGGGTGCATCTACACTGCACTCTTACCTCGAAATAAGCTACTCAATTTGTGCTACGCAAATTGCATAACTTATTTCAAGGTAATTTTGAAATAGCTTATTTTGAAAGTTGGCATGGTGCACACAGCACCAAATTTTGAAATAAAGTGCTATTCCAAAACATCCCTTAAGCTTCATGGAGCAAGATTTACAGGGACGTCGGAATAGCGAGCCCATTATATTTTGAAATAACGGGCACACTCTAAAAGGTGTAGAATAGCTATTTCAGAATATTTCCAGCATCCTGAATTAGCACCACAGTTTAGACGTAGCCTATGAGCCCAGGGAAACAGAGCCCAGCCATAGTGCATGGCACTCCATCCATCCCATCACAGGAGCTGGAAGCTGAGCCCTTATGCATACCGGGAATAGTATCATAGCATCTTTCCATCCGCTTTAAGGCTTCTTTATATCAGAGCAATGTAAAAGGGCCTTGGCATAGTTGGGAACCAGTCCCCGTGAGATCTGTCAGAACAGTTCCCCAAGGGAGTTGTGAAAGCCCCATCACTCACGCAGGGCCGGCTTGAGCCACTCCTGCACCCCAGGCAGTGGGAATGAGACGCATGAGTGGCTCTGCCCCCAGGCGCACGGCGCAGGTACAGCCCCCTGCTGTGCTGCACACCTTACAGCTGCAATCGGGCACGTGGCACCTGATGGCAGCTCTAAGGGGCGCTGCGTGGCCCCCGGCCCTGGGCGTGCAGCACCTCATTGCAGTTCGAAAGGACGCTGCACAGCCGGGCCCCTTACAGCTGCCATCAGGTGCCCCCCCCCATAGGTTGGCGCCCCAGGCAGCTGCCCGGCTAGCCCCCACCTTAATCCAGCCCTGCACTCAAGCCATTTCAAGTCAGGCTAGACGGAGCACTACCCAAGATGGGGATTTATTAGCAAGTGGCTTGGGGGGGTATAATCCTTTTCCACTTCTGACTACTATGACCCTGCCATTTGATTCACATTCCCCATTCTGTTCTTTATATGGTCTCCTTGCTCCCACCCCAGCCAGGCCGCTGCTCTCCTTCTGTTCCTGGGCATGAACACATTTGAAAGCAAGTGAGACTGGACAAGAAGATGTGAGTACTTACAGTCCTCTAGGTTCTCTGCTATGTGCTCTATGGCAGGGGATGCAGGGGCTAATTTTGCTGCATCCATACTTTTAGGGGATGCGGGGGCTAAGTTTGCTCCATCCATACTTTTAAGGAGTCCTATGCCATCCAAAAATGGATTCAGTAAAGGCTGTGAATCCTGCTCTCCCTCCACCTCCTTGTAGCGCAGAAAGGATTCAATGAGCAGGAGATCATTGGTCTTCTTTTCTATGACACCTACAGAGGACAGGTTGAAGCTGATGACACCCCAGATCAGGGTGTACAAACACCCAAAACTGAACATCGCTTACCCAACCCTCTCCCTCAGGCCCAGCCTCTCTCTTGCTCTCTCCCACCCTCACTCACTTTCACCAGGCTGAGGCGGGGAGCTGGGGTACAAGAAAGGGGTGAGACCCCAGAGGAGAGTGCAGGCTCTGGGATGGGGCCACGAATGAAGGTTTCAGGTGCAGGAGAGGGCTCCAAGCTCAGATGGGAGATTGAGGTGTGGGGGCTCCAGCTGGGGGGGTCTGGGCTCAGGGATGGGGCCAGGGAGGAGAGTTTAAGGTGCAAGAAGAAGCTCTGAGTTGTGGCAGGAGTTGGGGGGGGGATGAGGGCTCCATCTCGGGGAGTGGGTGGAAATAAGGGGTTTGGATGCAGGAGGGTGCTCAGGGCTGGGCCAGGGGGTTGAGGTTTAGGCATAATGCTCTGAGAGGGAGGCTGACTGTGGGAGGGGATTCCAGGCTGGGGCAGAGGATTGGGGTGTTGGAGGAGGTTCAAGATAAAGGGTCCCAGCATGGCTTACCGTGGTTTCCAGGAAGCAGCTGCCAGGTCCCTGCAATCCCTAGGTGCATGGGAGGCCAGGCAAGCTCCATGCACTGCCCTCACTCTCACAGATGCCACCCTCACAGCTCCCATTGGTTGCAGTCCCCAGCCAATGGGAGCTACGAAGCCAGCACTTGGCCAGGAGCAGCACATAGAGCCTCTTTGGCTGCCCATGCACTTAGAGATTGTAGCCACACAGAGCCAGGGAAGGAAAGAGTTTGTCTTAGCCCCTGGCTTCTGCTGCACCACCGACCAGACTGTTAATGGTCCTGTTGATGGTGCCAACCAGAGCTGCCAGGGATCTTTTTCAACTAGCTGATACCCCAGATCAGGTCCGTTCTGAGACCTGCTGGTAGACAGGAGTCTGGGGTCTATTTCAAGCTCTTATCTGACATAGGTCACCACTGGTTAGGGGAGGCTCAGGTTTGTGGGGTCCTAGACAAAACAGACTAGACTCAATACCCCGCCCCCCGCCCTCCAGAAAAAAAAATAGAACTCAGGAATCCTGGCCCTAGACTGCTGCTCTCACTAGTAGGCTACACTGCTTCCCAGAGTGCAGAGAAGAATCCAGGCTCCCAGACCCACTCCAATCGCTGGGGAAATAATAGAGCAGACCCCACATTCCCCCTAGAGGCATAAACATATGAATGACTTTCAGTGAGTTTGTCTGAAATAGTTTGGGGTAGGGGATTGTCACTCTAGTAACATTTGGGCGAAGGAAAGACCACTAACAACTCACCAAAATACTGCAACAAATTCAGGTCCGTGATCTCCCCGCTCTCCCCCAGCTGCTCCAATATCTTGGTGTCATCACAGTCTATTTGCTTAAACAGAAAGGCCACTGCCGATTTGAGCTGGTCCAGGACCTTGCTGCTCTCTTTACAAGTGTACTCGTACAGGTTGGCCTCTTCGGTGGTCTTCCTCAGCTTCTCCTTTCAGCACAAAGCAAAGCCATGCCAGCAGCTAGTGAGGGCAGGCGTATTGGGCACAAAAGATGGACCCGAAGCAAACTCATTTTTCGGAGCCTCCCCACAAAACTGTGCCCATTTAAACACCCCAAACTCTGCTTGTAGTTTAGGCCCCATTTCAGTTTGGGTTGGAGGGTCCCAGGAGCATCTCCCTACAGGTGGTGAGTGTGAAAGACACTGAGCACAAACCAGCGTGGACAGGTATTGCGCCGATTTCATCTGTAATTCTACTGCTGCTGGGGTCCCTCTCCTGGAAGCCCCTTGAGGATCCTACGACTGCAGGAGAGGAAGAGGCCGTGAGAGGTCTTGTAATCCAGTCCCTGGTTCTCCAAGCAGGACTAAGCACACAGGCCTTCACCACTAAGTGTACCCTGAAAGCCCATTTGGCAGAAGATACTCAGCAATGCTGAGAAATCAGGCTAACACAGTAGTGAGCAATAATTTTTGCCAGGGGGCCACATGGTCGCAGGCTGGCTCCACCTCTCAAAAGGGGCAAGGGCAGGGTCTTGCCTCCCCCCATATTTGTTTGGAGCCAGAAGCTTTGAATTAAAAACACAGCAAAGGGCTTGTGGCTTCCAGGCCTGCTGCTACCGCATGCCTGGCAGCTGCCCAGGGTTGCTGTGGCTGTTTAAAGGGTAGCATCATGCCCAGGAGCCCTTTAAATATCCACAGCAACTCCAGGTGGTTCCCAAGCAACACAGTAGCAGTGGGGCCAGGAGCTGCACACGCATTAAATAGCAGCAATTTAAAGGGTTTGCAACTCCTGGCCCTGCTGCTACTGGAATTGTGCCGTGACCAGGAGCCATTTAAGTAGGGTCCTGATATAAACAGAGAGCAGCCAGATGCAGTTTACGGGCTGGATCAAAGTGTTAGGCTGGTCCCTGGACTGAATCTTGCCCAGTCCTGGGCTAATAGCACCCTACTTCCCCCACAGCATCTCAATAAGTTGAGGACCCTTGTGGCTTTGGGGAGGGTCACTTCCAGGGAAGAGTGAGCCAAGGGCTCTATGACATACACAGACTGGGCTGGAGTGACAGACAGTGCTACATACAGCTCCTCTGGCTTGGAGGCACTATGGGGGCTAGGCTCTCCCCAGAGACTCCTTACCTCCATCTCCTTCAGGTTGGAGCTGCTTTTGTCATCAGCAACCTTCTGTTGGGATTTTAAGTGAAGGATTTCATTCTGCATAAATATGAGCAAATGAGACTAATGATTAGGGCTGACCCACACTCCTGAGCAAACCATTTCCTGGGACTTTGTTTGTAGTAGTATCATTGACCACACTGTACACCAGCAATGACCATGTCTGTGGTGCACCCTCAGCTGGGCTCATTACAACAGTCCCTTCCAAAACCAAGTAGAGTCTCTCAAGGCAACAGCAAGCCCTAGCATTATTCCCTGCCTGTGTGTTGGAAGAGCAAATGGGAGAAAAGTTCTACTCTCTGCAGCAAATACCATTATTCTGAGCTCGCTTCATTGCAGCTTGAAAAATGTGCACCCATTCCTAGCATAAACCAGTGCAGGCAATAGTGATTTACCCAGGCTGATGAGCTCATCTTTGGTGAAGGGCTGGAACTCACAGGATCAGGGCTCATTCTCTGCCAGGTACCTATCACCTTAGGATCCCCACTGGGGGCACAACCATCTCTTTTCTTCTGTGTTTGCTCAGCACAATGGCACATTTGTACAGCAGTTGACATGCCTCTTAGTTACTACACAGATACAAATAATAAGACAGTGCCTCCCCACACACACAGTGCTGTGCCCATAGTGGGAAAGCCAGTGCACTCCTCTGGAATTCTTTAACCCAACTATATTGGTGTCTCTTGGATTTAGCTGGAGGACCATAGCCCTAATATCCAGGAGGACCAATACACCTGTGGCCCTGCTCCAAACTGTAGTGGTCAGCTGGAACCAGCTGAAAAATGTAAACTGGAGAATAAAATCACAGGAGATCATAAGCAGCCTTAGTGTGCTCTTCCACTCTAGGGCTATGTCTACACTGGCGCAATCTTGCGCTAGAGGTATGCAAATGAGGCTAAGCGTGGAATATCGCCGAGCCTCATTTGCATATCTAATGAGCCACCATTTTTGTGGAAGAGGCTCTTGCGCCAGAAGGAGCGTCTACACCGGCCCCT